AAACGATAGCATTCGAATCGATAAAAGTTACAGAACTGCACAACTGCTGTAAATAACCAACTGGTATGATTTCATCCTCAAAATACTAGTATTTAACTATATACTTTTTAGTTGGCTCTTCCCTGCAGGGCTTAATGTGCTTCATGTGCACTTGCTGCTGATTATGGTTATAAAAATGGCATAAGTTCTTAAAGAAACATCTACAATATATATGTATGTATGTATGTATGTATGTACATATATAATATTTATATTTATCCAAAATTAAAGAAAACAAAACGCAACAGCATCAGATTACATACGAATAAATTGCATGTGTATGTATTCAATGCGATCGTCACGTTCTCTCTTTCACTTGGTTTGCAATTCAATTCGCTAGTTTTGTATGTAAATACATATGTATGTATGTAAGTGTGCTTTGGTATTACTATAATTTTGTATCTACATACTAGTCTAGTCTTGGAATGGCCCGGAAGCTCATTTAAACATTGAAACACGTGCCGTATTATTTATCAACGCAATCAGTGGCGCATTATATGTATATAGATATATACATATGTAAATATCTATTTACATATCACTTGTAAATATAAACACTATATATCTGTATGTATGTATGTTTAATCAGTGTGCTTATCACCATCACCTTCAATGGAAATGAAGAAGCAAAAGAATTTGAAGATTTTTTATTTATCTGCCCCTTGAATTATGGTGCTTGCTACAATGTAAATGTGTACATATGTATGCAATTATATATGTAAATAGCAAGTATAAAAAGACGTGCAGATAAAACAAATGATGTGTACACTAGTTTTATTAAATGATATGATTTAAGTTAATTACATACGAAAATCAGCCGAAAAATGCGCAGTTTCAGTGTAAAGAAAGACTTAAAAAATGGTAATAAAACCGCCGAAAAATAATATTACAAAAGAAAAAATTAAGTAAAAAAAAAATTATTATATAAAAAAATGAAATTAAAAAATATACAAAAAAAGTATAAAAAAATATAAAAAAAAAAAATGTAAAAAAAAATATAAAAATAAAATATAAAAAAAATTAATTAAAAGAATAAAAATACAAAAATAAAAAAAATTCAAAAAAAATTATTTTATATTATATTTTAAATAGTTTATTTATATTGCCTTAATAAATAAATTTTAAATATAAGTAAACTTTAATAATTTTTTTTGGGCTCTGCAGACAACATTTTGAAATCAATTGCAGAGCCCTTGTCTACGCAACCCATAGCAGGACGGGTATAATGAGGGTCTTGTGGGTTTTGCTCGACGAGAGAGGGCAAATCGCTAGACCAAAGAGTGTTGGCTTCCAAGACAATTTGATTCTGGTGAAAAGAACATGCTCTACATGAAACTTTGGTGACTGCTCGTGAATTCTTCTTGTTCTGCCATCTCTACACATAAAGCTGGGCTTGAAGTTGAAGAGCTGGAAATTGCATTAAATTCTCAAAACCAATGTTAATGGAAGTTGTTTTCCATGTACCAGACATTAAACAGCTTTCGGCTGATCAATAATTCATCTTAGTTGTGATGACATATCTTCAAAGGAGGTCATAGAGAAACTTATTGGTAATAAGAAAGATTTTGTCTAATGAGTTTAACATTTTTCATCTTCATGTCGAAAACTAACCAGAAACTTTAAGAGGTGTGACTGAAGAGCCAAGATGTTATAGAGATGGTAAAAAGATATCAAGCTGGATGGAACGTTGCAATGTTAACCGACGACTATTGAATGTTTCAGAGAGCAAATACGGAGTTGTTCTAAAAAGAATCTTACTGGGGAAAAAGCAATGCGTCTAGTATTTTCCTATGATTTTCGGTTACACTGGCCGTTGATTCGTTGTAGTGCCAGAAGGAGGTCTGTTTTATTGTGATGTGTATCAGTTCAAAGTTTAAGAGAGCCTTAATACACAATTTTGCAGCCTCCTTTAAGCATTAGAACTTCGAGACTGTGAGATATCTAAGCCGACTTCAGTATATATGCTTTCGCTTACCTTCGTTCATAGACAGGAGACTACTTCTCTGCTTCTAGGCACATTCAATGCAGTGGAGATTATTACCGTAATTATCGAGTTTTAGATTTATTTATTTTTCGGCTTTCCTACCTATCTCAGCAGATTTACCTTTAGTGAAGACTTCTGTCTGCCGTCTGGTAGTGTGATATAAATTAGAAAAAATTTTAAGATTTGTTAGGAATCATAAATTTTTTTAGTCTTCTATTTAATATTTTTTCAGTTGATAGCGTGTTTATCATGCATATAGTACATATATACAAACATAAAGGTATGCCTACATTATCAGTGAAGAAATGACATAAGATTTACGCAAGAAAATCAAAACAGTTCTCAAATTTTTATTGTTTCGGAGAATTGCGCTGTAACTAATCCCATTTTGGGCAGACGCAAATTAAGCATATTAATCCTGTTATGTGGAATTTTTTGATAAACAACTGATAAATTTTGAATCACGATACATGAGAAAGATACCATTTCAGAGTAACAAAAGATAGAAACCCGATGTTTTTTTTCGATAAAACATAGATGAGCCAAAGTGTGGAAAGCCAATTATCGAATAGTCGATAGAATAATGGAAATCCTCAAGTCTGACCGCCATTCGAGCACTGTTTCCATTGCCAGATTTTGATGCCACAGAAAACTGCACTCGTTCTTTTCACCAGGTAGTATAAGATTCCTAAATATTCAGCACCAACGCTTTCAGGAACGGAACAGGAACTCATCCTGGACAGGAAATTGAGCTGGTCACTAAACTCAACGGAGAGGGGGTGCGTAAGCCGTACATTGCCTTTCGTACCAAATTCGATAGAGTACCACGCCAACTGAAGCTATGAATGTTCTCTTGGATCTACTCCCCATTGACATAATGGGAATATACAAAGGTATCTCGATATCCATAAATCCTTGTGATTACCAGATCACTGTAGGTTTTTTCAAGCAGTATTGATGGCTATACATGAGGCTGTCAACTGTCTCAGCTCAACGGTACTCTCAGACAATCGTAACCATATCATTTCAGATAGCCCGGCTGCATTGCGAGCCCTGGAGTCTGTAACAGTAATATTTAAAACCGTTGAGGATTGCCGCAGATCGCTTCAAGCGATGGTCAAGCATTTCTCTCTGAACCTGGTATGGGTACCTGGACATAGCAACATACCGGGTAATGAGATGGCGGACGAGCTAGCAAGGAGGAGTCTGGACAGGCTGCTCAATATAAGAAAGTTAAAATGGAAAAGTCTAATTATAGGCAATGTAGTCAAGACATTGTGGCCAGAATAGAACGGCAGAAGGTCACCTGACCTCATCGAGCTGAAAAGAAAGAAGATATCTATAGTAATAGGTCCTCTTACAGGGCTTGTTCTATTCGGCTGGCATGTAGAGAGACTGGACGTACCATCCAATGATTTCTACAGAAGTTGCAGAGATGAAGAAGAACCAGAGTTTAAAAAGGGAGGCGTATCCCCTCCCCCATTATCTGCGTAGACAAGCAACATCACATAGAAACAAAAAATATTCCAGAGGTATTAAAGAGCACGATCTTGGCGGCCGCGCTACAGGCCTACGATACCAGATAATGCGAACACCAAAAGTTTCCCAATGAATATAAATTGATTGTTTCGTCGCATGTATGACTTGTGGCGCCGTTTTGTTGCAATCAAAGATCGTTCGCATTGGCTAGATAACTTCGTCTATCTTGGAACCAGTTTTAACACCAAGAATAATATCAGCTCCTAAATCCAGTACGGAATCTATCTTTCCAACAGGCGCTACTTTGGACTGAGTAGGCAATTGAAAAAGGAAAACCCTCCCTTAACCCTCATTGACGGTTTTAGGGAGAAAATTTGCGTGAGCGATTTATCGATTTTTGCGGAGCAGCGAACGTGAATACGGACAGCGGCTACCCCCTGAGGGTTAGGGGTTAAAGAATTTACCCGCGGTAAGGCATGTCTATCGTAAGAGGCGACTAAAATCCAATCGTACCCGCGACAGTCGGGTCTTTACACCGGAACGACCTAGATTTTTATCCAGCCAAGGACTGTCACTCCCGCAACATTCCCCAAAATACTTTTTGGGGAATATTTTTGCGGTTACAACAACAACTAGCTTAACTTTTTATTTTGCTGTAGACCCTCAGAGAATTCACTATGTACAATAAAAACTTTAAACATATTTTTCTCAAAATCATATTTTTAAACTAGGAGTACAGATTATTTGGACCCCATTTCATAGATTTATCTGAAAATTTTTGACAGCAAGAAGTAGAACTTAAACGTTTTTCAATTAAATATAAACTTTTTTTAAGAGTTTGGCGCGTATTTTTTTTAGTAAAATATCATTCTTTAAAAAAAGTGTTTCACTTTCACAAAAAAATAGCTAAAAACTAAATGCGTACGTACTTCCAAAGACTATAGTTTGTAGATAATAAAACTTTTTGCTTTTTCTGTTCTAGGTCTCATTCTTTAGAAGAAATCTGTGCTTCCGTGGACGCCTTTCAAAAAAAAAAAAAAAAAAAAAAAAATTGATTAAATGATGACTTTATCACCGCCATTTTGTAAGAAAAAAATAATAATTAAAGCATATTTTTTATACTTCAATATATGTTCAATGAAATGATTAAATTGAAATTCTATTCCTTTTCCCATATTTCTACAATAAATTTAAAAAACTGCGTCGAGTTTTCAACCTATAAAGTGGCTTTATCCCTATAGTCATTGATGGGTCGATCGACTCTAAGTCAGTTATATATTAGAAGCACCAAAACACCAATGGGAAATTAACTTTTCGAGCTCAAATTCGTACCATTTGTATGTTTGCAGGGGTAATCTTAACAAACTCAAACCACCCAGACTTGCTTCTGTTCTTAAAAATGTAGCAAATAAGAAATTTCACTGAAAAATTTCTTTATTCCATTTCATATTTCATGCAGTGTTTCAAATTGTGTTTGTGTTTTTTTTTTTGTACTTACATCAAAACTGACTGTGAATATCCAACAATGTGTGATAAGAAAAATAAATTAATCCAAATCAAAGTCACGAAGAAGCTTCGACGAGTTTCGGTCTTTTTGCGCCAGCTGATAAATTTTTACGTATCCAGAGTGTAGGTTTATTTCACTTTTTAATTACTTTTAGTGCTCACTATTTTGCAAAATGCTTTTGATTATAATAAATTTCGCACGACGTGGTAAATATGTACGTGTGTAGATATCAGATAAACATCGAAATCGACACCATGTGGCACTGTTAATATAATATTTGTGAATGCATATATATATATTTTCTAGCGCACAAAACAAGAAAACGAAGCAGAAAAAACAACACTACTCAACATATTTGTAATATATACATATATATGTGTACGTATTCATTCATATATGCACATTGTTTACTAGCATTTATAACACTCATTTACAAATGTTATAAATTTTTTTTAATTTTGGTTTGCGGTCACTTTTTTGTTAAAAATTCTTGTTTTCTTTCTGCGAGTATTTGTTATTTTTGCTGTGCGTTGTGCGCAATTTTTTTCATTTCCTCTCGCACATTGCTCTCGTTCTCGTTTTTATTATAAGCTACAAGTTGGCATTTAATCTTGTGCAATGCTGAAAAGAACAGTAATTTGTTACATAAGCATCTATTTAAGTGAGAATTTGTTAATTTCTATCTTTCTGCTGTTGTTGTTGATGTGCTTGTAAGGACAGCTACAAGCTCTCTGACTTTCTCTTTACCGCAACTCTCTCAAATTTGTGCTCTAAAACTCTTTTATTCACTTAAACATGTAGTCGATAATTCTGATCGTTGCTCAAAGTTTTGGAAAAGAAAGCATTCTTTATGCGGTCACCTTCCAAGGCACATGAAACAATCTGGCTTATTTCTGGCATAAAATCAAATCTCCTTGCAAATCAAACCATTAGCTTTTCGGCGTGCGACTTGGAAGGAACTATAGGTCTCTCAACTAAGTAATAGCCTACCACAAACTACAGGTGTGAAACTCGGCCGAAAAATCGCTTTAGCGGTTATAAATCTGAGGTTTTATCACACTTCTGATTATATCGCCTGTGAAAAATAATGTTATCACATAATTGTAATTGGGTCGGCGTAACAGCGAGCTAAGGTTTTATCACACTTCTGATTTTATTGCCTGCATAAAATTGTGTTATCACAAAAAATTTTAATTAGTTCCATTTGAAATAATATTAAATACTCCCTTAGTCGCTTACATCGAATTGTTTGCTAGAGCGCTAATTGAATTCATAAGATTTAGAAAGCATCTTCTGTTTCCAGTCTGTCGATGACATCTAAGCCGTGAGATTACTGCACATCAATTTGACAAGACCATATCAGTTTTTAGTCAGATAGACTAGATAGACTTTTACTTTCAAAGAACTATCGATTGTAGTTCAACCCGATTGATTGGTCCTTGTGATTTCTTGAATAAATATAAGGGTAATATATTGAGGAAGGACTGCCGAGATTCTATACTTTTTTGAACCGTTAATTTACAGAAAACTATAAGTTATACATCAATGTATTCTCATTGCAAAAACACTTTTCTCTTCTTCTCTATGTATACAGAATTTTTGAAATATAAAAATTTAAAATCTTATTAAAATCTACTTTTTTTTCAAATAAATAACTATACTTTTGGGTATTGCAATATATAAAAAAATGAATATTTATACAATGCACTTTAATGTAGAAAGATGTTGTTGTTATAGCGGCTAGTCCAATCCCACTTAAGGTCAGGCAATATTAGTCACAGCCGTTGAGGTCATTCAACGGGTGGTCCAAAAAACGGGCTATTTCGGTTAAGAGGTAAAATGGTGTAGGTGTAGATAAGGGGCACGCAAAATGGTGGAAAGTGTCATCTGATGTCTCACTGTTTGCAAGTCGATTTTCTGCATTCTTTTTATCCCTATGGCATATCTGGAAGCCATAGAAGACATTCGAGTGCGGCACCTGGGGGAGATTATATATTTCCGGATATTTTCTCCGGCGTTTTTCAACTAAACATTTCTTAATACTTAATTCACATCTCCCAGATAAGTAAAGGGTTATCCTTTTCGTATTTTCAAAACGACAGACACAACTACAACTATCAAATTTAACTGTCAAGCCAAATACGTTTTGTTTTTGGTAAAAATAAGGCATTTATAAAAATGGATCGCTTAACAACCGCACAGTGCGTTGAAATTGTTAAAATTTATTACAAATATGGTGAAAGTGAAGAGAGAGGATCGGTTGCAGGCATCGTAAGGCCATCATCGTTTTGCTCGTTCCACCTCAAATTTGGCGACTGCAAGTAAAGATGTAACTGAAGACCCATATGAGTATATTTCTCGGCGTTCTCAAAAGCTGTGACTGACTACCTTACGGCACATTATGGCTTATTTTGCAATTGGACCTACACTGGACCTATAAAGTCCGTTCCCACGCACTGAAGACAGATGGTTATGCAGAACGTGCTACATATGTATGTAATACGATTGGATACTTGCACAATCAGCAGTGGATGGCGATCTTTTGAACAAGATTTTCTTCAGTGACGAGGTGCGTTATTTGGCGCGAAGGTGTGACTGATTCTTACTCCTTTGAAAATAACAACGGCGAGATTGGCGTTTCAACTTGGAACGTTATGATCGTAGTTGCAGCAGCACGGCTTGGACAATATGTGGAGTGAATCCCCTCGTCTGGAGTCACACCTAGTGTGAAATTTCAAAACAATAGATCTTTTTTCATATTTCGGTAGATTTACAAATAACACATTAAAATTTGAAATCGATATCTCAAATAGTTTTTGAGTTAAAGCAATTTAAAGAGCAGCCGCTCGGCAACTAGAGAGAGTCTCATTAGCTACGAGTGAAAACGATCATTTTATCTTTAAACACGTTTTTCTTGAAACAGCATTTTCTGAATTTGCTGCAGTGATTACTCAAAAACAAATGATCCGATCACTATCGAATTTTTTTACATGTTCTATATATACATAGTTCTTCGTACAATGACCTATCGATTTTTGATCTGATCAAAAACTCGAATTTGGCAGGCCAAAAACTGCCAAAAGTTGGGGTAAAATTCGACTATTTTTTTAAAACGCCGACAATTTTTTTTTTGTTATCGTAAGTCATTGTACAGACAATAGAATTTTGAATAGAATTTTTTTTTTTAGATTACATCCCCGGAGAAGGACGGAATCACTGCAACAGTGAAGGAGATCGACTATAACTTAAAAAATATTAAATTTTTTTGTTCAAAAATTTCACTGTATATTCTTGAAGCATGCATAAATATATACTTAAAATTTTGAAATAATTAATAAAGTATTTTTTTATTATTAATTAAAATTCCCAAAAATCACCTTTTTTTAGGCCATTACACTAGGTGTGCCCCTTAAGTCATGATTGAGATACGGCCCAATATGTGCCAAAATAGGGTCGAAAATTTTCTTAAGGCGATCGAAGTTTGCTAAAATTCGAGAAGCTGTAATTTGAATAGCGCAGTGTTACACACACACAATGCCAAACTTATTATAAAAAAGGAATTACACGAAAAATTATTTTAAATTAATTTTTTCGTTTATTTTCGAAACCGCCAAATGGATAACACTGTATTTTCGTTTAAATTTTAGACCGGCGATTGTGCCTACCAATCAGTTGTTCACTGCGAAATGATTGTTCTTATTACTTGAACCGTTTCCCATTTGTTACTTAACTTTCCCAACAATCTAGCGATTTTTAATATTCACTATAACACTTTCGTTGTTTAAAGTGTTTAGATTTTTTTATTTCACTTTTAATCCTACCACGTGTTTATTAAAATGCAATTTTTTTCTATTAACAAACCATCACTGTCATCAATTAACAACAATTGAAGAAAACAGCATGTATGCATGAAGGAAGTTTTGCAAAATAACATAACTTAATTGGCAAACAGTAGCTAATGCGTTAAATTGCCAAGTCGAATTGTTGTTATTGTCTCCATCAGTGCAAGTAGTGCAAAATTTCGGCACTTTTTCTCTGTTTGCTTAAACTCAAACATCGAAAAACACAACACGTCTCCAATAGCGCAAATTCAAGCGAAGTTTACTTTGAGCGAACTTTTTGAAAATAAACAAACTCGGCGAGCAACAAACTGACAGCACATTAGCTACATACACACATACATAGTTGTACATGTTACACGGAATACGCTCACGTGCTCTTGCTCAACGAAATCTCATTGAGCACTGAGAGCTTAACAGAGTTGTATTAAAAAAATACTATTATTCGCTGCAATTGAGCGCCCATGCTTTGGCGTGGTGAAGTGTGATGCGCCACCAATGTTTGCAGTTTTCATTAGAAACTCACTAAATGCTGCTAAGTGGAAAAATATATTATGTGTATTTATTAAAAAAGGAGATTTTCTTCGTTTTATGTTACAGAAAAGTACTTGGTTGAAAATCTCATTTACACTTGGCCTCAAAAAGCCGCAAGCAAATTTTTATTGCTCAATTTTTTTTATAATAAAATGTGCAATTTTATTAGAGAAACTCTCTCTGTCTCTGTTTCTGGGTTGGAAAGCTACCGCAAGAGATTACTCAATAATATTGAGTTTAGCAGTTTAGCGCAATGGCACTTGAGCACCAACTGTTAACAGTCAACGGAAGAAAGAGCATTTGTTGCTCTCGCTACGTCTCGGCGTGTCAAAGAAATGTAAATTAAGCAAAAAAAATAAAAAAAAAATTTCTGACAGGTTTTTATTCTTCACCAACGTTTGCTTTATGATTTTAGCTTTTGAGTTCACAGCAATGTTGTTGGTTTTTCTTTAATCATTCCATAAACGTTTTATAAATTTGTTATTTATTATTTAGTCAACATCTAAGCGAAAATTTTTAATAAAAAAATAAATTCAATAGGTATTTAATCACTTTTACTTTATAAGCCATTGGTGTTTTTTGGGTTTTTGTTCAAACAGAAATTATGTGATAAGGTGAAATGATGTAATCAAAACTAAACACTTGTTCCGGCTGATTCTAACCTGAGGGAGATACTCAAAACACCGGAACACGCAGTCTCCACTGATGTTATGAAGTTAACTAATTTTAATTTATATGTATATATTTCGAAAAATGTGCCACCGACTCTGTTGCCATTACTAATACAGCTTTGAAAAGAAGGATCATTTTGTTGTTAATATTGGGTTATCAATTTCGTGGTTTCAAACGCACAGGGCTGTATTTTTAAATCTGTCAAACTTAACAGTCAAACCGAACAAGTTTTGTTTTAGTTAGAAATAAGACAACTCGTTAAAATTGTTAGATCTACTACAAAAATGGTGATTCGTGCTTAAGAGGAGATTATTTTGCCCTACATTCACCTACATTGGTCATTACATCAAAAAAAAAATGCCTGTCTGGTGCGCTCTTTGGTGCGGAAGTGTGATTGGAGATTGGACAAAGGCGAGACTATCACCGTTAATTCAGAGTGTTAAGGCCGTGTTATAACCAACCTTGTTTGGCCTGCAATTGAAGAACACGACTTGGGCAATATGTAGTTTCAACAATATGGTGCCACATGCCTCAAAAGTGGCGAATATGATCCCCCGATTTGCCACTGTTGGACTTTATTTTTGAGGACTACGCGAAAGACCTTGTTTATATGAAAAACACCTTGACTCTTGATCAATTGAAAAGTGAGTTGAAGCTGAGATGTTCACTACTACACTGAACGCATAATTATGTTCTCAAGAACCAGAAAGTTTCACGCGGCTGGAGCTTTTATTTCATATCTAAAATACAATCACAATAAAAGATAATTATTATTTTATTTTTAAATATATATCCAGTCAATAAACTCGCGTTATTTTGCAAAACGCCGGATGAACAGCTGATAAATTTTTATGAGTAACCATTACACTGAGAACATTAATATTTGCAGAATAGTGACCATATTATTAAAAAACAAGACAACTTTAATATTATTTTAAAGTTGCGTCTCATTAGTAACTTCCGTTTTGCACACTTCTATAAAGTTGAGAAAATTTCCGAAAATTTCTACAAACCACTGTACAACTGAAAGCAGTGAATTGCATTTGGTTACATTTTTCGGTGCACTTCATTCATTTCATAACAAAATTCATCTTTCATACACAAACTAGGCGAAATGTTTGCGAAAATATCAATATTTTGTGTTAGAATAGCGCACAAACATTTCTTTTCGGCCGTTTGCCAATTTCTCTTCTTTCATACATATTGCTCATTCTGCAGCACTTCTTCAGCTGCAGTGACACTCCGCGGCCAAACAGCTGATTTGAATTTATTATGCTTGTTTTTTCGCCTTGCGCCGCACCTTACGCCTTTGTTTTTGTATTAAATATATATGTACATATTTCCCACTTGCTTTATGCGACACCATACTAGCGCACAATTTCGTGTTTGCCTCTGCGGCAGTGTCGGTGAGACAGTGAGGCAACAGAGAATTTAGTAGCAGCGGTGGCTGTGGTGGTGGCGACGGTACTTCCTTGACACAAAAAACCACAGCATCAACAAATTTACAAGCGAAATGCGAGTAGTGTCTTTTGTTTTAGCAGAATCATTTTTTAATCTTCTTTCACATTCACCAAACTCTTATGCTTTATCCTGACAGCAACAACAACAGAAAGTTGAACAAAATATATCTCAAAAGAAAAAAAGCACACAAATAATGAACAACCTGATTTTCGTATGCCTTGTTATTGTAGTATTTTTTTGGTGGCTTTACATAAGTACATATGTACATATGTACATATGTGTACGTATGTAAGTTTTCACCCACTCTTCGGATATGTGTGGTGGACTGACTGGATTGTTGAGCAGTTGAAAGATAAAAGCTTCGCTGTTATTAGTAAAATAAAAACTCTAATTCAATATTCCTTACGCGACACTATTTTCGTTTTATTCAATTTTATGTTTTCATTTAGGAATATCCATTGGAAAATATTTCAAACTTTTGCAACACAGTTAGACGTTTTTGTTGTTGCATGACACACTCGTCTGTTTATAATATGTTTGTATGTATATAAGTACTATGCAACGAACGAAATTTACGCGAACCAAACATCCACTTCCGTTGGAAATCCGTTTCAAACTAAAATACAAGCGAATTCGGGCACAACATGTTGCCATATTGCCGTAATGCCAGTCTACCAGTCGCTGCTGGAGAGTTTAAATAACTACATATGTATCAATATATCAAACATAAGCGTATATGTAACCACCCTTGTATATATTTATTTAATATAAACAAATGAATGGTTAAACGAAACTTACATACATACAAACAACATCTCACATCCATCAGCCAGCAGTACGACCACTGTTTGGCTATAAAATTCGCTCGCTCTTTGTTGGAGCTGCTGGCTGTGGAACATATGTACAGTTAGCGCTGGCGAGCGCCAAACACCAATTAGTCTGCTCTCCAAACTTGTTTCTGTCGCATCTCTCACTCTCACTGAAATGGCGCTTGCGCTTTTTGGCTCCACTATATTTGCTTACCTGTTGTATTTATTTACTGCGCCTTTCATCGTCGCCACCACTGTGTGGACAAACAAAAGTCTACTGTTTGTTTGCTAGAAAGAGAAAAATAATGTAATCACCTGTCAGCTTACACTTTAGTGGACCTTTAGAGCAACATTAGTTGCAAGAAAACTAAAATATGAAAGAACATTAAATAAAATATAAAATAGATTTAAAAATAAAAAGTATTTATAAAAGTAAAACATTAAATGAAGTGATATAAATTAAAAATTAAAATTACGTAAAAAACATGAAAATATAAAATGAATTGAAACTAAGTGAAAAAGAAAAAATTAATGAACTTGAATAACAAGGAAAAATATAATTCGAAGAGAAACTAAATGAAAAAGAAAAAAATTGAATAAAATGAAATAAAATACATTAAAGTAATGAAAGAAATTCAAAAAAACCATTGGCATAAGAGGAAAAAATTAAAAAAGGATTTAAATTAATAAAAAGATGAAAAATTAAAAAAACAAATTTAAATAAGAAAAAAAAAGACTTGAATACAATTAAAAAAAAAATTAAATAATAATGGAAAACATAATTAAAATCTTTAAGCATGCATCATCCCAAAATTTCCCCAGTACGCCTTTAATCATTAGTTTTTCTAATTTCTCACCCGTATCTCACCCCTGAGCTCCACCCAATAAATACATAGTGTATAGTAAAGAGGAATGTTCCCCCGTACCACCTCACCTTATAAAAAAAACTAAACTAAAATAAATTAAATGTTAAAAAAAAATCAAATGAAATGGAAAGAAGTTAAGAAAAATTTAATAAACTTTAAAAAAATAAAAATGAATGAAACTAAATAAAAAAATTCAAAAACTAAACAAAGACGAAATCAAATAAACAACGAAAAACATCAAATTGAAATTGAATACAATCAGTAAAAAACCAAAATTTAATTAACAAAATAAAAGAAAGAAACGAAATTAAATAAATAAAACTAAAAATTCCAAATGTATTGAAATAAAACAAAAATAACGTAAAATTTAACAAAAAAAAATTAAATTAAACATAAACTTATAAAAAACTATAAAACCTAAAATGAAGGAATTATAAAAATAAATAATTTGGAATTAAAAATCATGAAACAAAATAAGTTTATATGAAAGAAATTAAACGCATTAAAAAATAAAATATATTATGAAAGTAACATAAAATATAAAAAAATGAAAAGGTAAATAAAAAATTTAAAAAATATTTGAAGCCAAAATTAAATAAAAAGCAAATAAATATAATAACAAAATAGAATAAAAAATAAACAAAAAATTAGATAATTATGGTTAATTTCTACTTTAAAAATTAATTAAATAAATTAAAGTAAAATTGAAGAAAATTTAAATTTAATATTATGAAATTAAAGAATAAAAAACCAAATAAAACTAAGTAACAATTAAAAAGTTACAAAAGTGTAATAAAAAAAATTGAAATAAAGTAAAATTAAATAAAAAATTATATATTAATATAACATATGATTTTAAAATAATGAAAGTGAAAGTGATAAAATAAAATAAACTATACAAGCAAGTTTGTTAATTTATTAATTCATTAAATAAATAAAAAAGGCAAGATAAAATAAAATAAATTAAAATATGTTACTAAAAAATTAATTGGCATTGCTTAAAAGAAAATTAAATTTAAATTTTATAGGAAAGATATTCTTTAAATTAAATTAATAAAAAAGTTGTTTTTAACATATAAAACATAATTAAAAAATTTAAATATTATAAAATAAAATAAAAGAAATTAATTCAAATTGAAACCTGCGTATAATACAATAAATAAATAACAAAATAAAATAAAATAAATATTATAACATTATATCAATAAAATAAATATTAGGTAAAGTAAAAAGTTCGTTCGGTCTTTTTCATTGACTTTTCATAATATGATAACTTTGTGAACACTTGCCCGATTTGAGTCTGTTTTGTATGTAAACTTGTTGCCAACGAGATGCTAACTTCATTATACCCTAATCGTAGAAGGCTGCGCCCTTATTGGCAAAAACCTCGGAGAGCTAAATTTCACAGGCCTCTCTTAAGGCCTCGCAATGGGCAGGAAAAGGTGGTAATCACTTGGTGCCAGGTCCGGACTATAAGGTGGATGCATTAGAACTTTCGATTCGAGTTCCTGGAGCTTTTGGCGCGTCATTAAAGACGTGTGTGGTCTATCGTTTTCCAGATGGAACATAATTCAGCTTCTGTTGATCAAAGATAGCCTCTTCTGGATGAGTGCTGCCTTCAAGCGGTTCATTTGTTGGCAGTAGAGGGCCGAATTGAGTGTTTGGCCATAGGGAAGCAGCTCGTAGTAGATGATTCTTTGTCAATCCCACCAAACACACAGCTTCTCCGAGCTTTGACCACGACCGTATGCGCTCGATGTTGTCGTAAGTTACCCATTTTTCATCGCCAGTCACAATCCGCTTCAGAAACGGATTTGTTGCGATTCAGTAGCGATTCGCAGATGGAAATTCGGTTCATCATGTTTTTTTGCGTTAGTTCGTGTGGCGGCCAAACATCGAGTTTATTTTTGAATCCAAGGTTAAGCAAATGGTCCTAAATGGCTTTCTGGCTTATCTTTAAATCCTCAGCAATTGAATAAGTGCTCACGTGACGATCTGTTTCCACTATTTCCATGATTTTATCGCAATTTTCGACGACTGGCCCCCTGACGTGGGTTGCATCTTTGAGATCGAAATTACCGGAACGGAACAAAGCAAACCACTTTTGTGCTACACGTTCGTTTACAGTATCGGGCCCATAAACTAAATTAATTTTTGGCTGCTTTTTCGCCTTGGTCGAAGAAAAATTTTAAAATTTAGCTAATTTTCTCTTTGCTGGTATTCATCTTTGACCAGCGCTCACGACGTACTGAGTCAAATGAATTGAAAAACTGCCAAGGATGGCATTATGCGACACGTAACACTAGTACCATGGACAATAATGCCATCTTTTAGATAAAAACCGAACTTTTTACTTCACCAATGTTTCGAAATATAAGTGTTCGTTCTATTTTATGAAATTTGTTGAAGTTTTTTTGTTTGCTTTTAATTGATTTTACCGTTATCGCAGTTAACTAATTAATTTGTGTTTATAACGGTGAGCAACAGCATAAACTACATACATATAATCGAATTTACTTGTATCAAATTATGGGAATTTAATCAATCCCATTATAGCGCTTTAAGAACGCTCAACACAAAGAGAAAAAGGAAAGAATGATAATGAAATTAGCATCAGCCGTTCTTTTAATTATTCTCGATCTTCTCAAAATTATTATACAAAATGTGAAAAGCACGATATCGAGTAAAATCAAAAGCAAACAGTCAGCAATAATGCGAATATGCGAAACTCAAAGAGCTGAAGTTTGTTGGAAAAACATGTAAGCACCAGCCGATAGATGGATGAATGGATGAAGGTATTAAAGCGAGTGTGAGGAGAAAGACTCACCACTTTAAAGCAAATTTAATTTCAATTTTAGAAGTTTTAATTGCAGTCAACAAGCTGGCGCATAGAAATGATGCAGGCCAGTGGCTTTGTGAAGTGAAATCAGCAGACCATAACGACCACTCATGACTTATAAGTGAGAAGCGGGAATGGATGTTGAAGATTTTGATATGGCAGGAAGGAATTTGTAATTTTAACGAATGCAGATGCCAGTCCGGTGCTAACGAGACACATATTTTACAGTGTTTAGCTGAGTAATTTTCCAATTGTGCAGTTACTCGGTCTACCAAAATCTCTTCCGAAAAGTCACCTGCCGTTCGGAGGTTACTTAGAATACGCAATGGATACTTCTATTTATGGGAAAAACATAAAGACAGTCACCAAAAACTGCAGGAACAGCTCGGTAGATATTCGGCAATCCATTATAAAGCAAGTTCACTAAGTTGGCGAACTTTAAAACGTCAGGTTGGCATAGAAAAACCGATCTCTCTTTCATCAACAAAATCCATGATGTGCTCTTCTCTCAATTAAACAGCGCTACCAGAGTCGTTGTAAAACTTAGGGGGACAGGGCCACTAAACAGAAGAAATTTATAGAAGATTGTGGTGGTGAATTTCTGGATTAAAGTGTTGTTGTTTATTAGCAACATTGAGAGTAGCATCTTCTGATTAGTGCTGTCAAATAACGCCGGACGAAGACTGCTGGACCATTCTATTTATTATCTTCTGTAGAAACAGTTGGAAGAGGTACTAATTTCTCTTTCTTCATTATCCTAATTGGCATTGTCATCGTTCATGCGATTTGTAGCCGAATCAACAACAGTACGACATATGTCCGTCCTCTTCACTGTTTGGCGCCAGTTGTAAATACTGAGTAAAACCAGGTCGCTCTCTACCTGATCCTTTCAACGGTGTAGAGATCTTCCTCTTCCCCTGCTTGGATTGGCCTAGTCAGCGTAGCCGCTGTCTCTTTATTTACGTATAATTTTTGCAGGGAAACCAAATTCAGACATACGAGTATATGGATCTGAAGACAGTCGTGCGGCTTGATGATTTTTCTTGTACTAAAATCCACGTGCAAGCATATTTGTGGACCTGGCGGAGTCGATCA